CAAGTTTCACTTTTTAAATGGAATTACTGAAATAAATCTACTTTTTCATGATATTCTAATTTTATGACCAGCACCTGTTTATATATATGACACAGTAAATTTTTTAATCAGGTTAAAGTTACCTAAAGAGAATGAAAGAGCTGCATCTGTCCACTTAACCAGTTTATTTCTATTGATTTTGAGAAAATTGTGTCAATTTTTCTTTTCTTTTCTTTTTTTCTTTTTTCTTTTTTTTTGGTGGTGGGGTGTATTTTGATTGGCTCATATTACAATCCTAAAGCCCTTAACCCTCCTGCAAATTACGCCTATGGGCCTGCCTGCAGTCCAGACCTGTCTCCAATTGAAAAAGTGTGGCACATATTGAAGCATAAAATAAAACGGAGACCACACACTGTTGAGCAACTCTAGTTGTACATTAAGCAAGAATGGGAAATAATTCCACCTATAAAGCTTCAACCATTAGTATCCTCAGTTCCCAAACACTTATTCAGTGTTGTTAAATGGAGAAGTGATATAACACAGTGGTAAACATGCTCCCGTCCCAGCTGTTTTGGAACATGATGCAGGCACCAAATTCAAAATGAGTGAATATTTGCTGAAAAGTAAAGTTGATTCGTTTGACGATTAAATATTTTGTCTTTGTAGTGTATTCAACTGAATATATGATGAAAATGATTTGCAAATGATTATATTGTTTTTATTTGTTTTAAGTATACATCCCAACTTTCATAGGAATTAGGGTTGTAATTTAACAAAGCCTGATAGATCAATAAGTTTAGGCACATATAAGACTTGGAAAAGTGCAGCCTTGGAAAATGGTTAAAAGTATTTATTTATTGAAAAATGAGAGAATGGTATTGTTTTGCAAGCTATTGTCCATTAAACTGAAAGAGATTTAGATCTTACACCCACATTTGGGCAGCAGGGGCTTTGTTCATTTAATATTTAAACGACATCATTACTTTACTTGAAAAAAGGCTTTTGAAAAAAAAAACAGTTTGTGCTGAAATGGCTAATGTGTTGTATGAATCATGCTCCACTGGAACCTAACAACTAATGATTTCCTTTGAGATGCAAAAACAAAAACAGTCATGAATCTTGTTTCCACTTAAACGCTTTTGGAGTTTTCATGCATCTGCATATCCACATATACAGAGCTGAGCATTAATACATCCACCTCACATCTATACACATTTATACAAATTGACATTTTTTTTATTTAAAGTTAGGAGTAAAAAATAATGGTAATATGAGTATTATATCATTCTTTGTTAATATTCACTCAAATTAAAATGTTTTTGAATCTTAAATGAATAACAAAAGCATGCTTATATGATTTTTATTCAAAAATGTGCATACAAAAATATAAAGAAAACAGTTTTGCTGCCTCTCATAAAAAASCTCAATCATTCAAACTAAAGAGGGATCAAAGTGTGACACATACACATGATTAAACTGTTCTTAAATCACCTGCAACGATTAAAGTGTAWTGTTGTATTTTGTCGTGAACTCTGTTTCATCGTTTAAAATGTTTGGATATAGACAAAAAAAGGACTAACATACTCAGTATTTGGATATTTTATATTTTGTGTGAACTCTGGTAAAAGGTAAAAGCAAAGTGTTGTGTGTGACAATGGGCTTAATAAATGTTGAGTACAACCAGGGGAYGTGTGTTAAATTCTCAATCGAAACACTTCATTTAGCATAAATGTTGACACACAAGACATAGACACCAAGAAATATATCAACAGAAATTTATTTCRGAAAGTAACACTCACTGAAACATTGTGCAGTCTGATCATTTCAGGCATCAACAAGTGGCTTAATGTTGCCCTCTAGTGGTAAAACTATTTGAAGGTTAAAAAATATATTTATCCGCATAACTCATATGATGGCTGTAAAACGACACTGTTTTGAATACCTTTGTTTTTCCAGACGTTAGTGTGAGTAAAACAAATCTAAGCCTTTTGAGAAAAAAAATATTCAGAATAACCTTACTGTATTTTCATCCTTTTGTTCTAATGAAAATTGTCCAGCTCTACTCTGGCACAACATCTCCAATCCACTGCAGGTAGGGTGGGTTGCCCTGGTCGATGGGCAGGCTGATGACCTCAGCCACCTCGTAGGGATGTTTAGAGCTGGTGAGGAGAACATCACGAGTCAAAGCAGCAGTACACAAACAGCAGTACTTAAAGTTGGACTCTTTGACTGCACGGGCCATGGCAGCTAATGGAGCCGATCGTCACACAATTATCTTGTTAAGCTGGAGCAACATGTTTTTTTTATGTTTTGTTTTTGTTAGGCTTTGGTTGCATATAAACTTACCGAACATATTCAGCAAGAGCAGGCACCTTGGAACTTCTTGTTTTGATCATCTGAATGGGAGAAACACAGGGCTGTCTGTGGCATACTTTTTATAAAATGGATTACATGAACAGGTTTTTATTATTATTATTCTTACTTATTCATGTTAAMTAAACTCATTATTATGTAAAGATGCAAAAAGCTATACGCTTATCTCGTAAGCATTAACATGTTGTTTTGGTGAGTTTTGTGCCGAGATGCTAAATCCAAGTATTTTATAATTTAATTTAAATTAGATCTGCTGTTAGACAGCTTTAATGTTTTTTTTTTATGTCTTGGTGCTGATTGTGAGGACATCTAGAGTATTTTTATTTCTGTTCTACATCTAAGCACTGTGAAACAGTTTGAGAAATATATTTTATCTCTTTATTTCATTGTTTTATTGCCACAGTTGTTTCTGTTCATCCTCAAGCCTCATGTAGTTCATWGTAAATAGTCTGTATTCGTTTGATTGTAGTGGCCATGAACAATGAATAYTGCATGATGTATGTCTGCAGTAACAACTACCCCTGTGCTAAATGACAAAGACAGGAAAGCATAAATAAGATGCTTGTTTAATTAGAAAGCTGCAATACCAACTTCAAAGACCAGGTAGAGCTACCTCCCTATTGGAGCTACTCCTGGGGGAAAACWGTGTCTCCCAGACCACTTTTCAGCCCCCCAATTTCTGTTGTTAAACCTCCTTTATTTCTAATTTCCTGGAAAAGGTTCCTGCTGACCTGGTATTTTCCTTTATTAACACTTTATTCAGTGAACAAAGTGCAACCACCAATATGCCCACTTAATTTCAGATTTGGTTTAAGAAATTGGTAACTTATTATTATTTTTTTACTTTTTCATAATAGAACAAGTGAATTTCCTGTGGAAAAAAAGAACAGTCATTCAGCATTTCAACAATGAAGCTGCATTAGTGATGGTTTTGGATCAATGTATGCCACATCCTAAATTGACTCCAGTTCAAAAGACTAAAATTGATCTGCTATCATGTGTGTGTGTGTGTGTGTGTATATATA